TAGTAACTACTAAGTTTTTTGTAAGGTTTTGGATAGTAATGACTCAAATGTTAATACATCCTTCTAAAAGAACTACTGTCATGAAAGCAAGAGGAAGAAAGATGCAGGTAAAAGATGTTTATTATAAATAAACAGTGATGATCAGGTCCACACAAACACGACACACAGGAGAGGAGAGTGACGCAGGGACCTCGATGGGCAACCGGGCTGGTGGTGAATGGCAGATGAATGAAGTGTCCGTGAATCCAGAAGTGCGAAGACGACGACAGGAAACGAAGACACGAAGAGACAAATCCAACTGGAACGAAGGCCACGAGAGAACTCCAAAACAGGACAGAAACCAACACCGGTAACACCACAACGATCTGACAATACAAGACACCAGTCACTGAGAATATATAGGTGAGTAGAGTGGAATCAGCTGGCGCTGATGATCAGCGGTAATCGGAGGACACACCCACACTTACCATACACACTGCACACAATCACACGAGACGAGCAAGAGACAGTGAATTCATGAACCGTGACAGTACCCCTCCTCCTAGGAACGCCGCCTGGAGTTCCCGGACACCCTTACCTGTCGATTGTAATCATCGATAAGAGAGTGATCCAGGATGTCTCTAGCAGGCACCCAACTTCTCTCCTCCGGACCGTAACCTTCCCAGCCCACCAGGTACTGGAATCCGCGTCCCCTCCGTCTCGAGTCCAGAATATGGTTGACCAAATATGTTGGTTCCCCATCTACAAGACGTGGCAGGGGAGGGAACTGGGCCGGCGGGTTAATGCAAGAATAAAACACGGGTTTTAATTAGGATACATGAAAGACGGAATGAATTCTCCTGTACGCAAGAAGGAAGTTTGAGTCGGACTGCCACCGGACTAAGGATCTTGGTGACAGTAAACGGGCCAATAAATTTGGGAGCTAGTTTGTTAGAGACGGAGCGGAGTGGAATGTTCTTGGTTGAAAGCCACACTTTTTGACCAACGACGTATACGGGAGGCTTCGACCGGTGGCGATCGGCCATAGCCTTGGTGCGTGCCCCCACCTGGAGCAGAGTCTCACGGGCTCTGGTCCATGTGCGGTGACACCTCTGGATGAGGGCGTGGGCGGAGGGAACCGCGACTTCGGATTCCAAGCTAGGAAAAACTGGTGGCTGGTAACCTAAGCTACACTCAAACGGTGATAGACCCGTAGATGACACTGGTAACGAGTTGTGAGCGTACTCCACCGTTGAGAGTTGCTGACTCCAGGAGGAAGGATTCTTGGATACCAAACATCGCAACACTCTTTCCAAATCTTGGTTGGCACTCTCGGTTTGGCCATTGCTTTGGGGATGAAACCCAGAAGACAGACTGACACTCGCTCCCAGTAATTTACAAAACTCTCGCCAAAATTTGGACACAAACTGGGGCCCCCTGTCGGAAACCACGTCCATCGGGAGGCCATGTGAGCGAAAAACGTGATCTACAACAGTCACCGCTGTCTCCTTGGCAGAGGGTAATTTAGGCAAGGGAAAAAAATGAGTCGCCTTCGAGAACCTGTCCACTACGGTCAAAACGACCATCATGCCCTGGAAGGGCGGGAGGGCGGTGATAAAATCTAGCGCTATGTGGGACCAGGGTCTCGAAGGGACAGACAGCGGTTGGAGTAACCCATCTGGGGGTCGATTGGAAGTCTTACCAGTGGCAGAAACCGAGCAAGACAAGACAAAACTGCGAATGTCACGAGCCATTAATGGCCACAAGAATCGTTGCCTGACCAAAAAACTGGTGCAATTAACTCCTGGATGACAAGCCACGTTAGAACAATGCCCCCATTGAATAACGTCAGACCGTAATCCCTCCGGCACAAACAATCGGTTCGGTGGGCCACTGGGCAGAGGCGTTACCCCTTCTAAGGCCGTCTTGACCTTCGACTCAATCTCCCAGGTGAGTGTGGAGACAAATAGGGTCTCTGGTAAAATGCACTCGGCAGTGGACGGGCATTCGGAATGGTCAAAAATGCGCGATAAAGAATCGGGTTTGATGTTTTTGGAACCCGGGCGGTACGAAAGAGAAAAATCAAAACGACCGAAAAAAAGAGCCCACCGAGCCTGCCTGGAGTTGAGTCTTTTGGCGGTTCTGATATATTCCAAGTTCTTGTGATCTGTCCAGACGATAAAAGGTATCCCCGACCCTTCTAACCAATGACGCCATTCTTCTAACGCTAACTTGACTGCCAACAACTCCCTTTTACCAATGTCATAGTTACGTTCGGCAGGAGATAAATGATGGGGAAAAAACTTGCACGGATGTATCTTGTCGTCTGTGGAAGAACGTTGGGAAAGAACTGTGCCTACCCCCACCTCTGACGCGTCGACCTCCACCACAAACTGACGTGACGGATCAGGAGCTATTAAGATGGGAGCCGAAACGAAGTGACCTTTCAGTTTTGCAAATACAGCCTCAGCTGTATCGGACCACCTGAACGTAGTTCTGGGGGAGGTCAAGGCAGTCAGAGGAGCAGCTAGTTGGCTGATATTGCGAATGAAACGCCGATAGAAATTGGCGAATCCCAGAAACCTCTGTAGGGCCTTACGGGAATCTGGACTTGGCCAATCTACCACAGCCTTAACCTTATCAGGATCCATACGTACTCCCTCAGACGAGATGATGTATCCTAGAAAAGAAACAGACTGTGCATGAAAATCGCATTTCTCCGCCTTGACAAAAAGCCCATTCTCTAGCAACCTTTGAAATACTCATCAGACGTGCTGTACGTGTTCCTGGAGAGAAGATGAAAAAATCAATATGTCGTCCAGGTAGACATATATGAACTGATCTACCATATCTCGCAGCACGTCGTTGACGAGTGCCTGAAAGACCGCTGGGGAGTTGGACAGACCGAAAGGCATGACCAAATATTCAAAGTGCCCCCTGGGGGTGTTAAACGCGGTCTTCCATTCATCCCCCTTCCTAATGCGAACCAAATGATTCCGTAAATCCAATTTTGTGAAGACTGATGCTCCCTGCAACCTATCGAAGGCTGAAGACATCAACGGCAAAGGGTAAGTATTCTTTACCATGATGTTGTTCAACCCCCGGTAATCAATACAAGGTCGCAGAGAACCATCCTTCTTGCCCACAAAAAAAACCCCGCCCTCGCAGGAGAAGAGGAAGGTCGGATGAACCCCGTTACTAGAGAATCAGAAATATATTTCTCCATGGCCTCCCTCTCTGGAACAGAAAGCGAATATAACTTGCCATTAGGCGGAGACCTACCTGGCAGTAAATCTATGGCGCAGTCGTAGGGACGGTGCGGAGGAAGAGAAGCAGCACGGGACTTACTGAACACTTCCTTTAGGTCGAGATACTCAAAGGGCATGTTAGATGAATCCCCAGCCTCCTCCTGAAACCCAGAAACAGGTACAGACGGACACGCAGACACAAGACAAGACTCATAACACTGAGTGCTCCATGTGGCGATGGAGTACTGGCGCCAGTCCACCCTGGGGTTGGGTTGTGTGAGCCAGGGGTGACCAATAACTACTGGTGCCAGAGGTGAGTCCATGAGGAGGAATGACAGAGTTTCCATATGGTTGCCTGATGTGCTGAGTGTTATGGGTCCGGTGGAAAGTGAAATATTTGGGAGTTATTGACCGTTGAGGGCACCTGGTCGGTACGCGTTGGTCGTTTTCAGGGACATTTTCGGGGACATGGGCTCTAACCTTGCGGAGGATTCCCTCGAGCTGCCTATGATGGGCTCAGGCTGTCGATCCTCGTAGGCTGGATGGACCTAGGTGAGCACTGGATTGGGAGTGGGGCTGGAACGCTGATCCACTGGAAACCAGCACTCACTCCACAAATTTGTCGAATCTCCCTCGAGGAGCCTCCCCGGACAACTGCTCTAGTGTGGCTGTGTTGATGCCTTCTGACCAGAATCTCCAGGGGAGAGCCGCAGAGGAGGGACACTAGGTCTGAGAACCATAATCAGCCAGTATGGTGATTCTAGCAGTAGACTTATTCCGTCCTGACAGACCTTCTCCAGAACTCCTGGGAGCAGAGCAATCGGGGAAAAAGAGTAGAAATGTATCCTCGGCCATGTCTGTACCATAGCGTCCAGCCTCAGTGGACATGCTTCTGCTTGACCGTAAACCTCCCATATATGCTCCACCACCTCGGGGTGAAGTCTCCATTGCCCGGGCCTCAGCCCCTGTCTCTACAGGATGTCTGCTCCTACATTCTGATACATTCAGAACCTGGTGCACCAGTTTGCATAGTGGACACGAACGCAGACACTCCCTGGTGATTTATGTAAGAGACCACTGATTTGATGTCTGTACGGACAGACACATGATGGCCTCTTAGGTCTGGGAGGAATTGCTTCAATGCCATGAAGACCTATCGAAGACCACATAAATTACATCTCCATGTAATTTATGTGGCACGAAATATGATGACTTCTCTACAGACCCTGAGCTGAGCGGCCTTCCTTTACCACTCCCCAGCCAGTGAGAGAAGCATCTGTCGAGAGAGTGACTCGGTGACAAATGAGCTCCTAACACTGGACCCTGGAACAAGAACCAAGGTTTCCTCCATATAACCAAGGTGCGGAGGCCCCCCAGCGTGATCTTGATCATACAAAGTAGCAATTCAATTTAATTTCATGGTTGCCAATCGTTGCCAAACAGTTATTTTGCTAAGTGTGAGGATGCTGTTGGCAAATATTTGAATGCAGAAGATATTTCTGTGGTAACAAATAATCACCCTGAGCTGACTAAGTATATACCAACAATGTGCATGTTGTAAAGCCTGAATATGGGATTCATTGGTTGTGGTTGTGATGCTCGGTACTCACAATTTTATTGTTGAACAAATCTATGATTCAGTGCTTTACAACAATACATTGAGCTTGGATAATTTTTTTGAATTGCTGATTACATTTTTTACAACCTGTGCCTTTGTTCAAGACTTATATAAAGGCTACAGGCAGTTTGCCATCCAACATTTCACATCTGACAATGACGACTGAGAGCGTAAGTGCCTCTTTCTCCCTTATTGTCCATATCCCACAGTCTGTCATGATGTATTAGCACAATGTAAACTGTCATTGCTGTGTTTGACAGATTGTGTTCTACGAAGACAGGAACTTCCAGGGAAGATCCTATGAGTGTAAGGGGGACACAAGTGACCTTCATTCTTTTTTTAGCCGCTGTAATTCTGCAAGGGTGAAGGGGGGCTTTTGGGTTCTGTATGAGCGGCCAAACTACATGGGCTATCAGTATATACTGGCCCCAGGGGAATTTCCAGATTATCATCATTGGATTGGCTTCAATGACTGTGTCCGATCTTGTCGTTTAGTCAGGCATGTATGTCCAATGACACCACAAATGATCACTTTGAATTACTAAGTTAACAATGTGATTGAGTGCATACATAGAAACATGATTTGTATTTCCTGCAGGTAACTGGACATCTCAAGCTGAAACTCTTTGAGAGGCCCAATTTTGATGGCCAAACATGGGAAGTTACAGACAGCACCCCGTCCATTCAGGAACGTTTTCTCTGCAAAGAGGTCCATTCCTGCAAGGTCCATGAAGGTCCCTGTGTGTTCTTCCAGCATGCAAACTACCATGGCCGTCAGTACCTCCTTGAGAAGGGAGAGTACAGACGCCACACTGAATGGGGGGCCATGCATCCCACTGTGGGCTCCATTCGCCAGATCAGCACAGACTGTTGAAATTAAAGCATGTTATCAAAACTACTGAAAAAGTATTGAAAAATAAACATTTTGAAGAGGCATCTTTTGAAGAGGTTTTTTTTTTTTTTTACTTTTGCCAGTTAGCAGACAATATAATATTGAACCGAAATGCTCTAAACATATGTGATCTGAAAATTATATTAAAGGGATACTCCACCCAAAAATGAAAATTCTGTCATCATTTATTCACCCTCAAGTTGTTGCAAACCTGTATGAGTTTCTTTCTTCTGCTGAACACAAAGCAAGATATTTTGAAGAACGATTGGAACTTTGGCACCATTGACTTCCATAGTATTTTTTTTTTCTACTATAGAAGTCAATGGTGCCAAACAACTGTTTGGTTCCAATCGTTCTTCAAAATATCTTCCTTTGTGTTCATCGGAAGAAAGAAACTCATACAGGTTTGCAACAACTTGAGGGTGAGTAAATGATGACAGAATTTTCATTTTTGGGTGGAGTATCCCTTTAAAAAGCATTCTTATAAGCCAGTCTTTAATTTATAGTTCCATTAATGACTGCTTTGTGAGTTCATACTCTGTGTGCAGCTATTGAGCAGAAATAGTTACCAAAAGATGTTTTCCATAAGTTATATTTTAATACAAAAATGTGTATTGTAATTTATTTTCCACCAAACATTCTGAACAAGAAACAAAAATAAATTATTATACATTTTCTTCTAACAGAACATAAGGGTAAATTTACTCTTGAGTGCAAAGGCTACTTTCAGTAATTCCGTCTACCATTGTGCAGATATTTTACCTTATAATTTAGATTACTGATGATGTTATTTAAATTATACACATGATAGTGATTACACTGCTATATTTAAGTGTAAACATATTGTATTTTGCTATTTGTACTCAATGCAATGGTATCCTTTTGCAAACTCCTTTTTTACTTAGTGTACAATAAATAGCTGCTACCTTGCTTTAATATTCTGTTTACACATGCATGTTTGGTGCTTTGAAAAAGGGGGATCCAATTATGTTTCATGAAAACACAAGTTTGAAGCCCTGTTCATCAGACTATGTAAGCTGTCATGAAAACATATTTTATTCCTCTTCTGAAAGCAGCAAAACACCTTTGTTTAATCTGTTGCCATTTTGATGGTAACATCGTGGCAGCTTGATTGCCTCTGGTGTTTTGTTGTGCTGAATAAAAGACTCGCAACAGCTTCAAGTGACAGTTTCATATACAGTTTCATGCACACATGCATTTTATATATATATATACCTTTATATTAGGGCTGTCAAATGATTAATCACGATTAATCACATCCAAAATAAAAGTTTTTTTTACATAATATATGTGGGTGCACTGTGTATAATTATTTTGTATATATATAAATACACACACACGCATGTATATTTAAGAAAAAAATATTATTTATATATAAAATATTTATATTTATATATAATATAAATTATATATAAATCTATATACAGTATATACATGAAAATATTTCTTAAATATATACAAGCATGTGTGTGTATTTATATATATAAAATAATTATACACAGTGCACCCACATATATTATGTAAAAAAAACTTTTATTTTGGATGTGATTAATCACGATTAATCATTTGACAGCCCTAATTTATATATATAAACACTAATACATCAGTTCATTCTAGAGGAAGTGTTATGCCTCATGAGCATGTGACTATGCCAATGCTGCTTGAACTCTGCCAGTACCAGCAGCTGGAAAACAATTTAATTGGCCCAATAAATATTTTCTGGACTCAGCCAGTCCTGTAAACCATTTAAACCACCCCCATAGACTGCATATAGTTTAGCATTAACATTATGATCATTTGGATTTTGGATATGCTGCTTTGTTTGCTTTTCGTAAATGAATTTGTTATGATATTTGGGAAACTACTCTCTCTCTTTTAGCACACTGGCGTTTTCCGAATCCGTCTGTATGAGCGGCCTGACTTTCAGGGTCAGATTATGGAGTGCAGTGAGGACTGGCCCCATCTCTATGACCGCTTCCGTCACCGTGAGGTCCAGTCCTGTAACGTTTTGGGTGGAGCCTGGGTCTTCTTCGAGCATCCTAACTACAGGGGACGTCAGTACTTGTTGGAGAGAGGCGAGTACCGCCGCTTCAGTGACTGGAATGCCATGAATCCTACTGTCGGCTCCATCCGCCTTGTTCAGGAGTTGTAGGTTTTTCAGTGTGTAGTTGATTGTTCCTTGACTATTTAATAAAAATGACACTGGGCCCATTAGCTCCTGTCTCCTGTTTTATTTTGTTATTTTGAAAAAGTCTCTTATGCTTACCAAGGCTGCATTTGAATAACTGTGTTTTTTTTGTTTTGTTTTGTTTTTACAAAATAACTGTTTTTTATTTTCATAAACTTTAAAATATTATTTATTCCTGTGATGAATTTTCAGCATTTTGGTGATGATACATTTAATGATACACCATAATACGTGTATCACCATGCATGTTCAATTTTTTTAGGATTCTTTGAGGAATAGAAAGTTCAAAATAACAGAATTTGTTTTAAATTAATTTTTGAGTCTTTACTGTCATTTTAAAATCACATTTAATGTCTCTTTGCTGAAATAAAAGCATTAATTTAAAAAAAAAAATCTTACAGACTAGACTGTATGTATAAAATATTAGGCAGAATTTATTTTTGGTATTTATTAATTCTCAACACATAGCTTTCAACAGTTTCTGCAGTTGATATAACTCAGTACTCCCCTCTATTGGTTATTATTTTCTGAATGGTGTCTAACAAACTTGCATTTTAAACTATTAAACAAATGATTTCATAGAAAACAAAATTGAATTTACATGTTTGTTTTTTAGTACTGTCATGAAAAACTGCATTTTACAATAAATTAACAATTAATCGATCATTTAAGTTTCACCTAAACACTTTATTTAAAGTTTATTTATAATCTGCATGACAGATGAAGATTTAGGATGAAATAAATGGCTTAAAAACTGCCTCATCAGGTCTTTTACTATACAGACGCTGAGGTCAGGAATTTTGTTTTTGTTAGTACCTGTCCGCATGAAAATAAATACCACACATGTTTTTTAACCATTTGTATGTTAAAAAGAATGAATGCTTGTGTGTTTGCATAGGCAGAGAGCATGAACTGTTAGTTGTGTGGGCAGCTGCTGGTCAATGGCCCCTGGTAAATCTCCCCATACAATAGTTCAGGCCATGTTGATGACTCAGGAGCTTTGCCAGTGCGATTCCAGCATGTACCCAAAGTCCACAATGCTTATGCAGACCAGAGAAGATGGACAAAAGTATGTTAAAACAAAAGGTCCACCAGCAAGCACTTTTTTACTGATGGGCCCACAGGGCAGTCTCTGTTGGTCCAGATTCCTCCATAGGCATCCAGCACTGAATGGAAGGATAGTTCACAAAGTTCACTTGCTAGTATAGTGCTTTTTTGTGCTAGCCTGAGAGCACCCTCTTGTGGCAGTCATGTTTAAAGTACTCTTATTATCTGTGATTATAAATCAGCATCTCCAACTACACACTGCTAGTGTTTCTATATATCTGCTATGCAGTATGTAATGTAATGTACTGTTTGTTTATTTATTTATTTATTACTTACTTGGTTCTCACTCTGAGTCAGACATCCACTGTATTCTCACTAAATGTGGGTAAAAACAGAACGGAAGCAGAATAGTATTTACAATTTCAATCTCCCAGCATGCCAAAGTCACAAAACATGGCTGAATCCATTGCTGTATGCTATAGCAATCTTCTATGACCTTTAATATTTTTTTTTTCACAATTCCTAATACGTTTAGTGACTAAAAGAAATGCCAATATTGAATGTTTAGATTAAAGAAATGCAACAGTGGATTTCAGAGGGCAGTAATTTTTAATATTGTTTACATAGCAGAACCCATTTAGAAAATCATTGATCAACTACTCTTTTTGACTGTACGGAGATGAACATAATAAAGCTTCAACCTAGTTTACCGAAAATACATTTATAGAGTTCAATGCAACTACAGTGTAGGCCTCTAAATATGCATTTTTAAATACTTTACAAGGGCTTGGTTAGTGTGGGGATAGTTCAGGATCATTAAACTTTAGAGCAGTGTTGGGGGTATGCATTGCAACTTACATAATCAGATTACTTTTTATCAAGTAACTAGTTACTTGAAAAAAGCATTACTTTTAAATTTACTTAAAATATCTGTTACTTTTTCAAATAGGCTAAGTAACGTCTAGGTCAGAGAGCTGCACGGGTCCGATTTTGTAAATCCGCACCCGCCCGTACCCGCAGTGCTTAAAACCGCATCCGACCCGTTTTCCGACAGCAGCACTAATTAAAATCCGCAACCCGACCCGACCCGCTTAAAATAGAACCGAGACCCGACCCGCACCTGTTACTGCAGGGGTGCTTCTCAATATCCCTCCTCGTCTCCTCGATCCTCCGTCCTCCATCCTATGACCCGGAAACCGATCGAGCTCAGCCATCTTGAAGGACATCTCAATTCTCTAATTGTACCGCGAGGAGGCGAGGATCGAGGAGTGAGGAGGCTTCCAGAGGAGCTATGAGCGAGGATGCACAGTTGTATGCTTTGCGGAAGTGTTTTATCGACTAAACGTGACGCACGTATAAATTCTCCTCCCCCTTCACGTCGGTCACAATCATTTTAATTTATACTTTACCATTGCAGTTTATATAAACCACACATCTCACATATTTCAACAGGGTATCTTGCTTTATTATTATTTATTACTAATTTCTTAAATAACCAAACTTCAACAACATAAGGGCAGATCCTTTGAACGCTGCTGATGACGCAGTGAAGTGACGCTCGAGTGATCAAGTATTCCAAAGTATAAAAAACACTTTCATTCGATTCCTCTGTCCTCGTTTTCTTTCCTTGCAACCTTCCCTCGCGTCCTGCAGGGGGTGGAGCTGAGACGCGAGGAAAGGAAGCGAGGAAAGGAAACGAGGATGCACAAATAAGAATTGAGAAGCACCCCAGGTATCTGCGTGCTTCCTCAGCGACGAAGTTCCATATTTTCGGCTATCGAACACGAAAACTTAAAGGCAGGTTTTGCATACAGCAAAGCCTTTCACAATGTTGCTTTCTTCATCAGAGATGACTCCAAATTTCTCCCACACACTTGACTTGAGTTTCGATGAAGTATTGTCGACAACTTTATAATCTCCTCTAGCTATTTTTTTTTTCAACTCCTCACTATCCATCTAGACGACTCATGCAGCAGTTCGAGTGGTTGTGATTTTTTAAAAGTGAATGTAACGTTAGGCCTAGAGACTCATGGGAGGGCGCGGGCTCAAATAAACTAAAAACAAATATTTTATCAACTTGAAATACAGGGCAGGCATAGTTTTGTAGATGTGTTCCTAAAAATATGCATTTATTTTTACATTTGCACGTGACTGTTTTGAACCCGTGTTTAGACCCGAGTTTCCCCGTGTCCGACCCGACCCGCATCCGTATCCGACACAGTTGGATATTTTTCACCCGTTTGAGCAAAATTTGCGGGTCACCCGCGGGTACCCGAACCCGTGCAGGACTCTGGTCTAGGTTAATAATGTAACCCCTGTTCCATGAAGGAGAGAACAGAGACGTTACATTGGACTGACAAATTGGGATCTCGCCTGTCGTGGCTGTCGTGAGGAGCATGAGATCAGGGAACCAGGTCCGGGTGGGCCAATAAGGCGCAACCATTAAGGCAAGTTTATTTATATAGCACATTTCATACACTATGGCAATTCAAAGTGCTTTACAGAAAGTAATTAAAATAACCACAAAATAAAAGCAAGGAAAATTAAAACAGTTATAAAAGAAATTAAAAGACATATGATACAGTTATAAAATGAATTAAAAGAGTAAAAAGATGATACATAGATAAACTTCTCATCTGGCAAAACACCGGTGTATCAAGTGTATCATTGGTGTATCATCAAGACCTGCTCCTCGTCCTCCCTGACCGTCTGTGCAAGCAGGCTCACTGGAGGAAATGCATACTTGCGTAGGAAGCGCAGACCACCTTAATTCCTAAATTCACATCGGCTGGAAGGATCAGCTCTATCACGTCATTCACCAATAGGACTGCGATGTCCGAATGCAGGACAGGAGCATCCTTGTCTGCCACTGAGGTAAACTGGACGCTGCTGAACCTGGGGGGACACCGGGTGAAGTGAATCGCATTGCCGAGTCTGATCGTCCGAATGACCCAACGAGACTGGCAGGTAAGCGCTAGCCAGGCTTCCAGACACTGTGCAAAGGGGACCAGAGGGACAACAGACATGCCTGCAGTGAAGTAGCGCTGTGGAGCACAGGGGACCGCCTCAGAAGACACAGCGTCCCAGTGTTGGGGCCTTTATCGTACTTTGTCGTAGTGGCTCGGAATGCAAATCTCACTCGCCAATGTGCATTGCCTTGTTCTGTTTCCACTCAAAGGTGATTGGGCTCTCAGGCGAGATCCCATTTTGTCATTCAGACGTAATGTCACAAGGTGACAAATCTAGCGGAACCAATTTCCGCTAGGAGTGTGTTTCCCCCCCGGGACGATTTCACCGGCACACCGTGCTGGTTTGCTTGTTGTCAGTTGCCATGACAGCGGCAGCTGATTAGCTAAGCGGTACCAGGTGCGGGTGTTTGGTGTGGGGATCTGTGATTGGGAAACACGGCCCAGAGAAGCAGTTAAAAGGAAAAGGAAAAGGCATTCGAGTGTGGTACTCCCCCGGGAGAGATCGATTTCTTTGGCAGTGGCTTGGGTTTGCTGGGATCTTTGGAGCGGCTGTGAGGATCTGACTGGAAAGGGGTGCAACGGTGATTGAGGGAGTGCAAGCTGGAACGTGAATTGGATGTGAAGTGAGTGAATTGTGGAGATTGAGTCAAGATTGAAGAATGCCATCACTCGAGGGAGAAAGATAAGTAATGAAACACCGGATCCGTGTGAATGTATGTCTTGCACTGAAATGGATAAGGAATTGTGAAGTGTATTGACCACAAATATAATTACCACTAAGAGTGTGAACTGATTCATCTTTGAAACCCTGATATCTTCTTCTGAGTGTGAAAGAGTGTTGAAGACGCTGTGTTCCATGCGATGCGAAATCCTCTGCATCTCATCAGCTTCTGAGTGTTGATTCAGCGCAACAGTGGAGGGATTGAACATTGGGTGAGTGCTGGCCTTATTGCACTAAGATTTGAGAGTGGATTGCGGTGCCTGAATTGAAGTG